TCACAATTAAATGACAAAGCAAAATATAATGTGTATTGACTGAACGGCGCTTCAGTACAGACGAAAATATTTCTTGAACTTGTACTTTTTTCGCATTACAGAAGACTAGCTTTTTCTTTGATGGGTTAACCGTCCATCAATACTGGAACAAAGTGAAGGTTCATAAACAGATATCCACCGGCTTGTTAGCTGACATCCGATGATATGAGAACATCAATACGTAAAATGCAAACATTATTAAATGAAAATAGTATAAAGGACGAACGACCAGAGCGTAAGACTATTTTTGAAATCAATGCATTTTGCTTTTCTATTTTTAAATGAATAGAGATTTTTCATACATATTACAGTCTTGTAGTCATATATATAATGATTCCTTGGCATAGAAATAAATTTGATAGGTTTACCAATGTTTTATTTACAATAGGGCTTAATAATATTACAGAATGGTATTCCCTAAGGGGAAAGATGTGCCAATTGATGAAAGACTTGGTTATTATAGATACAAACTCTTTCAAAATGTATTATTAGCGTCAACCATTGAATTTCGGACACTTTGCCTTCGTTGATTGCATAGAGAACGTGGCAGAGTTAAACATGTTTATCAGTGATCAAGTCCAGTTAACCTCAGAAATTCATGTTCCAGTACAACATCTGGACAAACTTTAAACATCAAAGAAAAACGGTTTTTTATAAAAATTTCAATTTATGATTTTTGTTGTTACGATAAACACATTGAAGGTTTCTTAAAACCGGCTCAATAACAATCATGACTTTCATCGAATGATATAAAACATGATTAACAAGGGTTGCCATTATAAAAATAAGAAATCACCTGGGGTAAAAACACCCTTAGTATTTCAACAACAACAACAAAATTGTAAACAAAATTACGGTTGCTAAAAATAAAATAATGAATATAAACTGTATTGATTTGTGTACTTTGATCAAAATAAATGTGGCAATAAATAATAAAATAAACCCGAACAACTCGCATATCTAAACCATATTTACAATAATGAATAAATTTTAGAGCTCCCAATAATTATTTTCTACCTCAAAGGCATGTCTTCTTCTTTTGTTAAGAAAAATCATTAACTATTTAGCATTACGTTTAAACAATCGAAAACCCATAGTTTTTGGTTGTCATGTGATTTCCTTTTTTACTTGTAGTATTCTACCTATTGTACATTTTTGTAGGAAAAAACCTACCATTGTTTATGTTAATCGATGTGCCTTGTTAAAAATAGACCGGTTTATCTATAGATAAAATATAGATATATAACTCTTTAAAAATTCCTCTTTTTTATTTCTTTGCTATTTCCAACTAACGAAAAAGGAATATTCGGAATATTCAACTTCGTTTTGGTATATTTTTACTGAATCATGGTCATTTGGCAGAGTTGTCTGAGTTGGATTAAAAGTCTCCAATCGTACTATGTTTATGTGTTTTATTGTGTGTTGCATGATTCAATATTTAATCTTGGGTTTATCAGTTCAGTTTTTCTGTTGTTCCGTTGTTTCCTCTTATAGGTGATGTGTTCCTTCGGTTTTGGTTTGTGACCTGGATTTGTTTCAGTTAAATTGATTTACGACTATTGAACAGCGGTATACTACTGATGCCTTTATTTATATATTTCAGTTGAATCTCCCTATGTTCAAACCAAATAAACAAAATATGAAGGCCACGAATATTATGGATGGTGTACTTAAGATGATGGTATATTATCATATCCATATGGCCAGTTGTTAAACACAACGTTATACGTTTAAGTAATCAACCTAACAATCCACCTTTAAACAAAACAAAATAAGGTTGCGACCAGCATTTTGACTTAAAAAGACTATAGTTTTTTACATCAGCGTAATTTGGTCTCTGGTTGATAGTTGTCTCATTGACAATAACCACATCTTCTCATTTTAATACATTTGACAATGTTTTACTCGATTGTTGCAATATCGAGAATATGACGTTGACATCGACAAAAGCACGAAATACGGAAATATATGACTAAGACATGTGTTACTGAAGAAACCATCATATGGTAGCTCGAGTTCATCAAATGATACTTGTCAACGTTTTGACAAGTTAAAGACATTCTTTCTTATTAACAATTGAAACCTTTTTCTGGACATTACTATGTTTGCTATTCAACTAGGTTTACCAAAGGTTGATCTGTTGTGAATCTGTATTTTTTTATGCTGTACCACTACATCGTTCAAATTTTACACAAACTGGTCATTATCCTAGTAAAAAAATGTATCTTTATTTAAATATATTCTCTTTAAGGCGAAGTGTACGTAATTGCACGCCTCTAGCGGAATTCAGGATAAAAAACGTGCGTCGTTAGTTACGCGGGTTATCTCCCCTACTCCAAGAAAGGAAAAATGGGCACATGAAAGAAAAATGACTTCGTGCGGTCTTTCATGAATCCAAACAAGTATTCATGTGCTATTTCAAAACTTCAAAGAAATTATTATAATGACTCCAATCAGAAATCTGAGGATCCTATTGTGAGTTAGTCTGACTCTATTACCACTGTTTTTGTTTTAGACACGCAGAAGCAGGTACACAATACGACTCGTGTTTATTTCAACAGAAGGTAAAAACGCCTAAACAACAAAATTATAACCAAATAAACAAATAAACCAGTGACAATTCTGCTTCTATTCGTATCAAATTCATTAAAATCAAACCAGAATTGACCCCACAATATTTTTTGAAAAACCATAGTTTTGAATGAAATTCAGTGTAGCGTAAAATTGTAGGTAACGAATAATTATATTGCATGTGAATTTGTGTGTTGAACAAGAAAGACGTTGGCATGTCCGATTTTATGCAATTGATGTTTTATATTTTATTATTTATGTAAAAAGTATAAAAGATACTAAGGGTAATCGACCACTAGTACAACATTTATAAGCCGAAGAAAAAGCCAACAGCAAAAAAAAACCCATCAGATTCCGTCCACAAAACATTACACACTCAGAAACTAAGAATTGAGCACTATTACTTTTATCTCAGAATAAGTAAAATCTATGTCATCCAAATCTCAGTTTTCAAGGTGCAGAAAATAAACAGGTGTTTTCTATTCCGTCCGCAATTTTTTGGGAAAGTAAAATCTAAATTTAGAACCATGGTTGAAACTGAAACTACACATGTATGATAAAAATAGAACGTGTTATTTTTTCTTTATCAAATTCCAATTTCGAAGGGATAGCGAAATTTGTTTTCTTTTGTTGTGGTTTTGTGTATCATTCAGCAGTAGTATAAGGTAGGGGAAGAAGGGGGAGGGGGTGAAGAAACTAGGGTCTACAATGTCGGGGCTTTTTATAACCGACTATACGGTATGGATTTTTGTCATTGTTGAAGGCCGTATGGTTGCCTATAATAATTACATCCACATGATTTAAGGTAGCTGGGGTGTCTAAATATTGGACGATAGATTTTCCTTAAACTTCTGTAAAAGACTTCTGGGTCAATGTAATTTCAAATTTCAATACAAAAACTGGGGATCACGGACCTTGTTTTTTCGTAATAACACATTGAAATTAACGAAATTTGGGTTATTTTATATTGTTAATATAGAGGAAACTTAAGTTTTCCTTATTGCGGAAACATTAAACGATAGAATTGGCTAAAATTCGATGAGAGAATTGCTTTTCATTAATAACTCCGAAATATCAAATAAAAATAGGGGGTCACGGGCCTTATTTTCTTGAAAAAATCCCCAAAAATTTTAAATATACTTTACGACACTTAATGTTTTGATAGTTCAATCTTTAAATTTCAAGTTTTAGGTATTTTGTTGTATATTAAATGATACTTGGTAAAATATTTTTAAAACAAAAAAGTATTTTTGCAACATGATCAGAACGGACGCTCAGAAAAAGACACCCGGTCTACCTTAAACTGTGGCAGATAGTTGTCTAATTTGCAATCATACCACATCTCCTTATTTTCATATTATATTAACAAAACTGCAATTCATTTGCATTATATACAGGAACAATTTGTATGGCACTACACTAGGTAAACTCGTATAGCATCGCCCATGGTACATTCTTATAGCATTACACCAGTACATGTTTAGTATTACACCAGTACATTTATAGTATAACACCAGTACATTTATAGCATATCACCATGCACAAAGCTTTAGCATTACACTATACACAATGCTATAGCATTATACACAATATACACAATGCTAAGGCTAACACTGGGAATGATCTGTGCTACGGGAAGTTATATCAAAAACTCCGATCTGTTTTACTTTGCTAAAATTCATATGCGTGTTCTTCTTTTGACCTTTATAATAGCGTTATAGAGTAGAAATTGTGATGACGTTACAGTAGACATCAATAACGTCGCCGAATGTTTTTATTTTTTCCGCTAAAAATTAAACTTCCACAGGATATAGCTTGAAAACTAGCACGGTTGCTAAGGACTTTCTTTGCACCAATGGGTTCGTCGTTCATTTTTGAATCGCATATCGATTTTTAAAAAAATTCTGTGGACCAACGAAATAGAAAATCTTGATAAAGTAAAAGTATCTGCCGATTTTTATGATTTTCCCTATATATCCTTTGTATTTTTGGCGTATCAAGCTGTTAATTTCGACAGCTTGTATCTGAAAAACGAAAACGGTTACCCCCTTTTTTTATTTTACTGTCTGATGTATTTTTACAAGCAGAATCCACATGTAAAATTTAAAAAAAATCTGTGGAGTAGTTAATTACGTACACTTCGCCTTAAACATGCTTTGAAAAAAATCGTGTTGGGTGACTTATCATAGATACCAGGATTGAAATTTTGTACGCCAGACGCGCTTTTTGTCTACAAAAAACTCGTCGGTGACACTCGAATCAAAAATGCTGAAAAGGCAAAATCAAGTTTTGTTTATATTCTTTAGAGTTTATCTAAATGTTTCACTCTCAAAATTGACTCTTACTCGTATTGAGGGTATTTATTAAATTATATTTTCATTTCATTTTAGGTAGTGTGATACATCACCAGCACCTTTCATCGGAAAATCAACTTGATGTACATTTCTGGATAAGTTGATCTGTTGATATGCTAATACTGCCTGAAGTCCAAGGTATTATTATTAAGATGGGAAGTACTAAAATAATTTACTTAAGTTGTAGACAATCTTCCATGAACCAATGAAAAAATTATGCAATGGTAGGAATATCTTGAAAACGTTTATTGTTAACAGTGACACGAACCAAAACGTTTTTCTCTAATTTTTTCTTACTGCGAAAAAAACCACTGATTGTGGACTGCATATCTGTCAGGTAATTTTCCGTCAGTAAATGATACGGCAAGGGTCATTACGAATTGTTATACAGGATGTTTATCTTGATAAACTCTAAAAATGCTCCAAACTTTACGCTTGTAACCACCGAACAGGATACTAAACTATTCCTATCTGCTCATTAACAAATGTATAATTCAAATCTCAACTTTTAAACAGAAAAGATGAGGTTTCTATATGCACTTCCGAATCTCAGCATGGACTATTATTTATCAATCCATACAGTAATCTAGAACTTGTGTTGTCGCGTTTATTCAGACTTGATAAATATGTAACCACGTCCTAGCTGATTACGGACTGAGTATGTCTGGCTATTTGGATGTGCATCCCTTCACGTCTGTTCGGCTATGGTAAAGATCCACGTCTTTTAGAGAATATTGACTGATGAATACTTACATTGACTTTCAATGAACATGATAAATATTTGCAGTTAATCGCTGTTAAACATACTTAAACACGCCGATTTCATCTTTAAGTGTTTGAACTCAGTTCAGCTATGAAATTTAATTAACAATAAGTTCTTTGCGAGTGGTTTGAGATTTTTTTTAACAAAACTATCCAGTATGTATTCACCTGGTATTGTATTATACCTTGAGGTAAATATTTGCTATTAATGCTATCAGAATTCCAAGCAAATCATCATGGCGTATGTTCAAATTTCGACGAGATGACATCATTTTTATCATTATGAACTGTTAGAAATAATGATTGAAACGCAAATTCTAAAATATCTATGGTTCTATACGTCACCTATTCTTTGTGTAAAAGGCAACATGTCAGAGTGTTTCAACTGCAATAACTTTAAAGTATTTTGAAGTTAATCACTGGCCTAGGAGTCCACAGGCAAAGAGGTGGGGGTTTAGCCCTAACTATATTATGCAAAAAAAGTGTGATGGAGGACATTGATTTACTACTTGACTACAGAAGATATTTTTACTTTTCTTTTTATACAATTAGTCGGTTGAAACTAGTAGATTTTTGTTGAAAAATACAAGTACTGAAATTCAGAAATTATTGCGAGGTTTTTATTAACGCGAGTAATGCGGCTTGGTGAAAATCGCAATAATAAGAACTCGCATTCTGATATCTACTACATATATTTGTATTCAACTTTTCCTAAAATCGCAATAATTAATCTCGCATTTTTGTCCATTCTTTAAAGATCGCAAAAAAAAAAAGCACGCAATAATTTCTGACTTTACAGTATTTATCTATCAAATCGATGACATCAGCAGTAATTCGTCGTACTATTCCCGAATGTCATATTTTGACTGAGTGGATTAGCATGGCGTTTGATTCATGCAGTATACGCACCCAAGCTCTGTCTCTTTTGGGTTCATGCGATAACCAAAGTTTCTGTTTGATAATTTTATTTATATATTCCGAAATCGATTTATTAGATCTGAAAATCGCCAAACTGTAAACGCATAAACTGCTTTTATTTTCCAACTTGATTAGTAACACTGCTGAAAGACTATTTGCCAAATTTTTCTGTTTTGTTTTGCTTTTTAACGAATTCTAAGCAAGGCAATGCTTTTGCCATTGTTTATCGGGTGGGGAGGGGGTGATGCTGTTTACACAGCTCTGAATGTCTTGTTTACATCACCATTAATCTCATGTTTATGTGATCCTTCTTTTAATTCATTTGTGTCGAATATTTTGAGGGGTTTCACTGAGCAACTTATATACTTTCGTATTGCTTTATATGAGTTTGATTTACAATGTTGCGGACTTAGTTCGAAGAACTTATAGTTTTTTGTTTATCTTCCTTGACATTGCTAGAAATTAGCGGGAAAAAAACAATTTAATTTATAAAATTAAGTGAAATCATCTGGGAATGAAGTAGATGAGGAGCAGTAAAAGGAATTACAGATTAACTTGATGTGCCCGCTAAAGATGAGAACTTGATTTTTGAATAATTATGCTGATACAAAATCGTTGCATTTAATGAAGCGAACAAAGTCGCATTTAATATAATGTACGACATAAAATCTTGTTATTAATTATGTATATGTATTCGTATGAACCATCCTGAACCCCAGCTACTTTAGTAACAATTAAGCTAGTTAAGAACTATTGAGCAACCCTAAGGTGATCATCATGATGTACAATAAAAATGTCATCATGAAAATTATCGAGTAATACGTCAATTAAAGACTTAAATTGTTATCGTATAAAACATAATTGTAATACTCAATATCTTTTACAGAAAACGTACAACAGAGTTGGATAAAATGTGTAGTGCTTTTTTGAAAGACAATTGAAAGCGTATTTAGCAAAGAGGACCAGAGCTACAACCTAGTCAGATTTCAAATGAACGAGCACTTTACGCAATCAAAGCTTCAATCATCTGACAAAAATGAGACAACGTTCAAAAGACTCTAGAAGAAACCTCATCAGAACCTTGTGAATTTTTAGTTAGTACTTTGAAATGTCAAACTAACATGGACTGTAAATGTAATTGTACCATTTGCAAACTTCTAGTAAACAATGAAAAAAGAATTAAAAAAAGGAGTTAAAATTGTAAGAAATGTGTACAAAGAACAAAAAAAAACACACAAAATTAAAGAAAAAAGAAAAAAAGAAAAAAAGAAAAAAGAAAAAAGAAAAAGAAAAGAAAAAAGAGAAAAGAAAAGTACAGCTCAAATCTTGATAATCGGGAGGGCGGTGGGTAATGCAGCCAAGATTTTTCTTGCCAGTCACCAGCCTGGATTAATGCAGAGTGACTATCTTAGTGGGAAAGACAAATCATTATAAAGTTTTATGGATTTTTATTTAGACAACCCCCCACAAACTACCTTCAATAAAATTGGCAAATCCATTACACATTCTAGTATAAAAGTTACTTTATCTGAGTTATCTCCTCTATTGTGGCAAAGTTGAAAAGAAATGTATCAAAAAACAAAAACAGTCTGATTCTTTGATTTTTTTAATATTGTATATTCATCATTGTAAGGTCCTGCTGATCTTACCTTCTCATGTGGATTCTGAGAGCACTTTGCATATACAAATGTAGTTTCCAGGTATAATTCATCTTGGCTTTTCATGTTGATTCTCATGGCACATTGCATATACAGTCCTTGGATGGTGTAAACTTCCCACTAACACCATACACCATTACACCATTCACCATACACCATTACACCATACACTCTGTGCCATTACACCATACACGTTACACCTTTGCACCATACAACTTACACATTACACCATAATGCAATTTAATTTCAAAGAAAGCGTGCGACTACAAAATTATTTATTTATTTTGAAAAACGAACTTTGATCACAATATCGTAAATTAAAAATCAGTTCTCATCAATATTTTGCATAGTTTTAAATGTCGTACACCATTCATTCACACCATTCCCGATCGCACGTTACACCATTACACCAATCCCCTTACACCATACACCATAGAACCATACACCTTCTACCATTGCACCATATGCCATACACCATTACACCATACACGTTTTTTGGGGAAGTTTACACCATCCAAGGGCTGTAGTTCTCAAGTATAGTTGATCATGGTTTCTCATGTTGATTCTGACAGCTCATTGCAAATAGTCCCCAAGTAAAGTTGAAGATGCCAGAAGTATTACAACAAATCGTGTCTTCCACTCAGATAACAAGTAGTCAGTATTTGAAACATGAAATAAAATTTCAGAGTAATTCAAATCTCAGGTAGGAATACTGAACTGACATCTACCCTTAATAATTCCCGTACTTCTCAATTTTCTTACGCTGGAAACAGACCGACAGTAGTATCTCCATCTCGTCTCACAACATTCCAAAGACCAGAAAAAAGTTACTGACTGTATTTCAATAAGGTACTTCAATAAACTATGACTCCTGAATCCAGTATCTAATATCTAACTGAAGAAATGAGTTGGACGAACTTTAAGAGGTGTATCACAAATAGTAAAAGACATAATTTAATAAATGTCACACTTTACACGACTGGTGCAACATGTGGAGCACCTGAGATCACCCCGGTTTGCTCGTGTTGCTTAGTCTTTAGATTTCTATGTTGTGTTTTGTTTACTATTGTTTGTCATTTGGTCTTTTTCTTTTTTTGCCACGGTGTTTATTTTCAACATATGAGTTTGCATTTCCTTTGGTATCTTTCGCCTCTATTTAATCTAATATCAAATAAGGAAATGAAGTATGACTGCCAATGAGACATCTATCAACCGGAAACCAAATGACCATGATGTTAGCAACTACAGATCAGCGTACGGCATTCAACAATGAAAAAAATCTTTACCGTACAGTAGGCTATAAAGTTATCCCGATATGACAAAATGTAAAACTATTCAAATGGAAAAAATTGGGCCTAATTTATGTAAAAAAAACTAAAGGAAAAACAAATTTGACAGACGACATCTAATGACAACCGCTGAATTACAGGCTCCCGACTTTGAACACGCACAATCAGATTGTGGCGGGGTTAAACATGCTAGGCCAGGGTATATGGTGCAAATTAAACAATTGTTTTGACTTGTGTATTTATCAATGCATGGTGGTCCGATACATATATTTCACGTTTTCGACATCGCTCTTTCAGGCGGCGAATATTTGTACGCAATGTTTTGGACAATAAAATACAGGTCTTATTCGATTTTGATGTGTTTTTACTTTTAATTAGGGATGTCAACTCGGTAAACACTTACTAATCGAGTACTCGTTGGCTTTATCGAGCGATACTCGAGTACTCTACACACATGGAAAAAGAAAAATATGTACTTTATATTCTATGGTTTGTTGTTCAACATACGAAAAACCATCTACATAAGTATCTGGGACGAGGAATTACACACCATACGTAATAGATCATTACCTATAAGTACTAATTAAGTAAAAACAATAATCTAATTAATATGATTTAATGAACACCTACTAGTATTTAAAAAATATAACAAGGAAAAACCATATCAAACAATAGTATTTGGTAATCGTTAAGAAAACACTTTTAATGTTTACTAAGGAGTAAGAGTTAGAAGTTTAACTATTCACTGAGGGTAACCAGAAGATGCAACGAATTTATTTTATTTGGAAACATTTTCTTGTCAACTATTATTGCGGACAGTCGGGTTTAGAACTTTGTAAATTACAGTCTTGCAGACGAAACTATTTTCTCTGACGGCACAGATGTGAATGGCTAAGACATGTTTAGTTTAAGTGTTAGCCTAAGTATAGCCCAAGTATTTTGGGGGGCATTTTAAATGACAATTTAGCACAAGCATTCGAAACAAAATGTATTTTATTTACTAGTATACCTAACTCGACGTACGCACGTAACGGGACCGGTAATTGCTAACCTATAAATTTTGTTAAATGCGTCATTCAAGTTTTAATTCAGTATTTCTAAATTATAAAACCCATTCAGGATAAATTTTATCAATATCAAGTATTTCTAAGATGATGAAAAACGAAAGAAATCATCATTTTTATATATCACGTGATTATTGAGATTCCCGCCAAAACTTCACTGTCATATGACCACGTATATTCACGTATCTTTACCTATCATACGATTGATTTGAGTTGTCTTTCATGGTTTTGACCATGACTTTGTTTTTTGATATACTTTGCAAATGAACCTTTTATTATTTAATATTTGACATGCTTTTATTTGTCGTTATCAGATTGGTGTCCCTTTTTCCTTTCGTCCCTTAATGTTTTATAATATTTAATTTCTTGGGTATTTATTATATGACAGAGATTTTTCTAGCAATTTCAGAAATATCGAATTCAAAGTGCTAGTCAGAATTTGTCTCTGTTAAAGTTGATAACTGGGATTGCATCATACTTTATTAAGCATCATTTCAAACGATCTCTTCTTCTGCAGTTAATCTTGTTTATTTACAATCTCCGATGTTTTTCCCAAGGGAAAAGTTCGACAAAGGGATGTGTATATTTAAAAATAATTAATACAGGTCTTGTACTTCTTTAAATTTTAATAGTTGCCATACACTTTCTTTCAAATAAAAGTCAACTAACATAAAAAAAAAAAAAAAATTGTAATTAATAATGATATATGTAAATAAATGTGTACGCCAATTCGTTATATAGATTGTAATTTGGAAGGTGTACTTGATAAGCAATTGATGACTAATCTGCATATAAACATTGACCGCTGTGGATAGTAAAATATCAATTAATAGTTCATAGTAATTGGCTAAAAAAATGTCCTGTCCCAGGTATCTCTGATTAAAAGTGGACGAGAATGCCAATTTATACACTTTTAAGACAACTATATTGCCACTTCAGTCTTTACAGTAATTTTCTTTTTAAAATGTACTTTTAATAAGTAAGGCTTAATATTGTCATAGTTGTTTTTGGATTAAGACAACTCTTACTAATCCAATTAGAAGTGGATTCTAAAACTATCACATATTGATTGAGTTAAGCAAAAATTTTTAGTTTCAATTGTTGTCTCGCATTAGAGGTATATATTTATATATAAAAGTTAAACTCTACAACATACCCATGCATATGATCACCATTGAAGGTGATACACGGCTGAAAACACATTTTATATCAATAATTACTTTGAATATGTATATATGTGTAAACCAAGCTCTCTGAAGGAAGGGTTTTACAGGTTGTTCTTATGTTGTGCTGTTGCACCATTGTCCCAGGCTTAGGGGGTGGGGGTTGAGCACTCATTCTTTATGTGCCTGTCCCATGTCAGGAGCCTGTGGTTCACTTGTTGTCGTTGGTTCATATCTGTTATATTTGTTTTTCGTAACTTGTTTTGTTTTAAATCAGGCCGGTAGTTTTCTCAATTGAATTGTTTCATATTTTAAAAGTTGGTTCCTTTTATAGTCGACTATACGGTATGGATTTTTCTCATTGATGAAGGCCGTACGGTTGTCTATCATTGCTTACATCAACTTCATTTCTTATTGGCAATCATACCATATCTCCTTATTTTTTTTTGGGTTCTTTTTAACTAAATACGTTTAATATTCTCAGGTAATTTAACATTTAAGAATCAGCTTTCAGTACCTGGGGGTACTTTAAGATCGGTTCTCTGTATCTTTCATCATAAAAATGTAATTGTTTTGGGCTTAATTCAATATTGATTAGTTGAGCTATTTCCAACTGAATTTCACAGTTGTTTTTTCTTATATTGTGCTGTTACACCAGAGTGTTGAGCGCTGGTAAACGCGTTTAACCAGGCCAAATTCTATTATTTTCGTTTGAAAAATTTACATTTTCAAAGTCAATGCCTTATATACTAGTATCTGATAATACGGTATGAGTATTTGCTTATTGTTGACGACAGCACGAGCCACTGTAGTCGTAATTCACACCATTTGGACTCTGTTTGATAGTTTGAGCCCAGGAGTGTAAGGAATAAATCGAAAAAGAATGCATGCTAAGCATACTAATGCTTTTGAAGAGAAAATTGAAAATATTTGTTGAACGGACAGACTGGCGGACGGACAGACAGGGTGATTGTAATATGAGTGCGGGTACAATATTTAGTCAGTGTATGTATCTTAGATGCTAGTGGTAAGGAAGTCTGGATCAAAATGGGGTAATCTTTACTTGTTAAAAAATATTTTTTTACTATTTAGAATAATAATTGCATGCCTACTGGATATTAGTACAATAGCAAGTCACA